TAGTCAACCAAACCCATATAATGAAGCTTCCATAAAAATCCGCAGAGTTCAGGGTTCGGAGAGCTCCCAGGGTGATGAGGTGCCAGGAGGGTGGTGTGCCCAGGGAGCGTGGGTGCTCCTCACCCTCCCCCATGCCCTCCCCTCCGTCCCTTCCATCTGCCTGTTGGTTTGTATCCTGTGTGATGAACTGGCAATAAGGAGTAAACTGTTCTCCTGAATTCTGTGAGCCTCTCTAGAGAATTACAGAATCTGAGGGGGGCGTTGCAGGGACTTCTGACTTAGAGCTGGTCAATCGGAAGCACAGGTCTGATCCCAAGTACCTGGACTTGAGAAGGGCCTCTGAAGGGCGGGTGGTCGTGTAGGACTGAGCCCTTACCTGCGTGGTCTGGCGCCGTCTCCAGGTGGATGGTGTCAGAGTTGAATTGCAGGACACCCAGCTGGGCTCGGAGAACTGCCTGGTGGGAAAATGCCCACACGTCTGGTTTCAGCGTGAGGCGCTGACAGCAGATCGAGGGGTGAGTGGAGTGGTAGAAAACAAGAGTTTCCTCTATGAGGATGAACCCTCTTCACAGTTCATGGTCTCCAAACAAGGCATTTAAAATCAGCTTTACCAGAAATTGCACATCCAGGTGTGGCTTCTCACAGTGCTTACCTTGGGAGATGCAGTGTTTATATTACTGACCTGTGATGATTCTGGACACTTTCTGAAAATTCCTTTAGGGAATCGCCTCATGACTTTATTGCATCCTTGATTTTATCCCCAAAATGGTATTATCCATTTGTCTCCAACGATTATGAAATTGTTCTAAAAATCAAATCCACCCTAAAACAATGATTTGTTTTCCTTGAGAGTATTCCAAAGCATGTGCAGGGATACTGAAAGTAATGTAAAAATGAAAACTATATCTTAAAAAAAATTGTTTTGCTAACTTCTAAAACTCTTTCAGTGGGGGATGCTTTCTAATGATGACACAAAACCCGGCATTCAACAAGTAAGATAAATTGTACAAAAACTGTCATAAATTAGACAAATTTAGGGAATTCCCTGGTGGTCCAGTGGTTAAGACTTGGTGCTTTCACTGACAGGGCTTGGGTTCAATCCCTAGTCGAGGAACTAAGACCCCCCACAAGCAGTATGGCCACAAAAAGAGACAGAGAGAAATTGGATTCATTTGAATACATTAAAATAGTAAAACTGTGTATTGAAAAAATACTGTAAAGTAAAAATGTAGTAATATTAATAAAATGGGGGAAATTTGCAACATATTCTGTCACAATAGCTAATTCCTTGGTATATAAAAGTTTCCTAAAAATCAGCAAGAAAATGACCATAATCTTATAGAAAAATTGTCAAGGGACATGAACAGATGTTTCACAGAAAAGGAAATACTCCTAGACATACACATACAAGATGAATTAGAATGGTGCCTAGTAAAATTATCAGTTATCATTTTTACCTGCTAGAATGGCAGAGCAAACAGCCTGACCAGAGCTGTGTTGGTGAGAGCTCAAGAAGCTGGCACCTGATTGCCACTGGAGTTGTAGGGAAATTTGGCAAAATAGTCACAATTTGAAATGTTCTCACCCTGCGTAGCAAAGCAAACCATCCACAAAACAAAATGGCAGCCTACTGAAGGGAAGAAAGTACTTACAAATCATATATCTGATAAGGGGCAAATACCCAAATTACACAAAGAATTCATACAGCTCAATAGCAAAAAACCAAGCAATCTGATTAAAAATGGGCTGAGGATCTGAATAGACATTTTGCCAAAGAAGACATACAGACAGCCAACAGACACAGAAAAAGATGCTAAGTATCACTCACCATCAGGAAAATGCAAATCAAAACTACAATAAGACATCATCTCATGCTTGTCAGAAAGGCTATCATCAAAAGCCAAGAATTAAGTGTTGGCGAGGATGTGGAGAAGGGGAACTTTTGGGCCCTGTTGGTGGGAATATAAATTGGTGCATTCACCATGGAAAATAATATGGAGTTTCCTTTTAAGGAAAATAGAACTACCATATGATGCAGCAATTCCACTTCGGGGACTATATCCAAAGGAAATGAAATCACTAATTAGAAAAGATATATGCACCCTGACATTCATAGCAGCATTATTTACAATAGTCAAGATATGAAAGCAACCTAGATGTCCATCAACAGATGATAAAGATGCGGTTTATGTATGTAATGGAATATCACTCAGCCATAAGAAAGAATTAAATATTGCCATTTTCAACATGGATGAACCTAAAGGACATTATGCTAAGTGAAATAAGTCAGACAGAGAAAGACAAGTACTGTATGATCACACAAAATGAAGGTTGCTCATTTGTGTCTGACTCTTTGCGACCCTATGGACTATACAGTCCATGGAATTCTTCAGGCCAGAATACAGGAATGGGTAGCCTTTCCCTTCTGTAGGGGATCTTCCCAACGCAGGGATCAAACCCAGGTCTCCTGCATTGCAGGCCAATTCTTTACCAGCTGAGCCCCAAGGGAAATCCAAGAATACTGGAATGGGTAGCCTATCTCTTCTCCAGGGGATCTTCCTGACCCAGGAATCAGACCGGGGTCTCCTGCATTACAGGCAGATTCTTTACCAACTGAAGTATCCATACACGTGGAATCTAAAAAACAGAAGTCATTGAAACAGACATCAGAATGCTGGTTTCCAGAGGTGGGACATGGTGGGGGGCGTGAAATAGATCAGAAGGTAGATTTCCAGTTATAAAAGTCCTGGGGATGTAGTATACAGAACGGTGACCATAGTTAACAATACTGCATTGCTTGTTTGAAAGCTAAGAGGAGAGGTATCACAAGAAAAGGTATTCCGTAACTGTGTATGGTGACTGTTATGTTAACTAGACTTATGTATGTTATGTATGTTAACTGGACTTACTGTGATCATCCCACAACATATACTCTATGTCGTAGAGAGAAACTAACCCAGTTATACGTCAACTAAACCTCAATTAAGAAAAGAACAGTTTAAGACTGTCTTGGCTGGGGAACTCGTTCCTACATGAGGTGGGGAAAGAGCGGTAGGCAAGCCCTTGGGAGCATTTTGAGTGAAGTCCTTCCCAGAGCTCTTCTAGGGGTTCTCAGAACTGTCTTCTGGAGAAAGTGTAGCTTCTTAAAGGACTTGGCTCCCAACAGGGCCCTGATCTTCACGGGTGCTTGTCACTCGAGCAGTGACAACCACAACGTTAATCTCTCTCAAGACTCGTCCCACCTCTTCACGAGGGTGGGGAAGATAGATTCCCAACTCCACACAACAGCCTCTCAGAACCCGACCCCAGAGGTCAACCCCTCAGTGAGCCACCTAAGACCACAGAGCTCGAGGTATATTTCCTATTTTCTCGATGTTTAACCCTGTGAAGATGAAGGGGAAGTAAGTTGAATGATTCTGAGTATTCAGAGGGTACATTTCATGTTAGGGAGAAAGATTCAGCTTAATCCCATTGTTTTCTAATTTCAGTCAATCCACACCTCTCCACCACCATTCAATTTAAGCAGCAATTTAACTTAGATTTTAAACTCCTTATTAAAATACGCTTCTGAGAAGCACCCTGAAACAAGGCACATTCGCATGTTGCTGCCGTTGGGTCTGCAGTGTCAGGCTGGTTCACGCACGTATGCAGGAGTGCAAGCTGGAGAGCACGGGGTCTTGTCATATAGACGGGGTGGCTACTCTGAGTGAGCGTGGGAAGGTGGGTGCAGGACCCATGGGGCAGGGCACGTGGGTGGGAACCTCTTGCCCGTGTGCATCACCCACAACGTGCTGGGATGTGCATTGTCTGGCTATTTTTGAAAAAACAAGAGCCTGCTTTATTATCACAAAGACAGTGAATGACTTGCATAGTCTGCTTGGCTTAAAAATGTTCCATGACTTATTTGGGACTCTCTTGGGTGACGTCCAGTTGTTTACTTTTTCAGACGTGAGATCACCGACCTATAAATGGACCAAATCAATTTTCACTTTGGCCTTCATGCATTTTTGATTCCTGGCCTCTGGAGTCTGCACAGTAGCTAAGCTTCTAGCTATCGTGGAAGGAAGGGGCTGGGAGGCCCGCCAAGGTGGGGGTGCAAGATGCGGGGAGCCAGTTTTCATTTCCTTGTCAAGTGGATCCTCAGGCTTCAGTCCTGAGGTGGCTTTCTGTCTGGGGAAAGCATCTCCCCACTGTCTTTTCCTGCTGTGTCCATACGCAGACCTATGTCCCCCACCTCAAGGTTGACACTTTGGGGAACCCACTGGGCAGAGGGCTGTTGGCTCCGGTTTTCAGCATCTGTGTCCTGATGGCCTGCCCCTAGCCCTCTGGAGTTGGGGATGTGGTAACCCCCACCTAGTCAGGCCCCTGGGGAGAGGGTGCAGACTCCCCATGTCTGTCCGGCAGGCTCAGGTCTTCTCGGGTTTCACACCTGTCTCTCTCTCCTGGTCCTGCACACTCAGAGGTCAGGGCTCCATCCCTGAAGGCCTGACATGTGGGCTTATGCAACAGTCATGCCACTCTGGACCCCTTCAGCCGTAGGGGTCTAAAGGCTACACCTTCAGGCGTAGGAAGGGTCTGTCTGGTCTTTGTCCTGGCTGTGACCCCCTTCTGCTGGCCCTTGATTAAAACCAGATCCTCACAAGACACACTGCAGCTGGAGGTCAGTGCCCGCTCCAGACCACTCGGCCCTGGAGGTGATGAGCCTGCAGATGTCAGTCTCAGAGGGGGGCTCTGCTCTGCTGGACCCCAGAAAAGCCTAGACCTCCACAGGCCCACCCCGGACAGGGGACACCAGGAGTGCCCAGTGGAGCCTCTGTGTGTCCTGCTGCTGCTGTCTCCCCAAGAGGCACTGACGGGACTTTAATCCTGCCATCACACATCACCCACGGGGGCAGGTTTTTGTTTCAACTTCGGTGAACGGGAACGTCCCGTGCCCAATGTGGGCGCTGGGGTGGAGGGACAGTGCTGATGCTCACCAAGAGGAATCAGAGGAGCAGAAACCCTGGAAAACCCTTTATTTCAAGTGGAACACATGAGGTTCAGCTTATTTCGAGAACTGTACATTCACCACAGGAGCAGTTGTGGGCCTGGGGCCCATAGAGCCCTGTGCCCGGCTCGGCCAGCACCCCGCGAGCCCGTGGGGGCTGGGCCGCCAGAGGGTGGATCCGGGGCTGTGGCCAGGTGGACACTGCTCGGCGGCCAAAGGCTCAGGCAGCGATACATCCAGTGGGCTCAGGACACAGCTTCTGTGCGAGCGCTCAGCACCACACAGACGTCACTCTCTCACACACACACACACACGCGGCTTAGGACACAGCTTCTGCGTGAGCGCTTGGCACCACAGACATCACACACAGACACACACACACTCTTCACAGCACTGCACACTCACACACACCCATACACGGCTCAGGACACAGCTTCTGCGTGAGTGTTTGGCACCACACAGATGTCACACACAGATGTCACACACAGACATACACACACTCTTCACAGAAGCGCACACTCACATTCAAACTCCTCGGGGAGCCCAGGCAGGTGGGCCACAGAGAGGCATCCCCTCCAGCCCCACCTCCCACGCTCAGTGCCAACTCGGCAGCTGAGCCTGAGGCCCTGAGGACGCGGCTTCTGGATGATGTCACAGTCCACACCCCCGGGGACGCCAGGCCCACCGGCCCAGGGGGACGCCCGCTGGAGAGCAGCACAGAACAAGACTCCTGCCATAGGATGCGTGTCACGGCTGCCCCAGGCCTGAGATGGGACAGTGTGGATGGCAGCGGGGCCGCCCTGGCCTCAGTCTGCTCCCCCTGCCCCATCTGGACACCGTCCACCTGGAGCCAAAGCCTGGGCTGCGTTCCAGCGCACCCAGGGGCTGGCGTGTGTGGCCGTGGGGAGGAGGGTCCTGGCCGGCACCGTGGCCCCCATCCCGCAAGTCAGGGGTCCTAAAGGGGCCTGCTCTCACAGAGCCTGCGCTTCTGCGGGGACGGCTGGCAACTTGGCGGCTACGCGGCGGGGCTCTTGTGTCTGCTCAGGGAGTCGATGTAATGAAAAGTGGCACCCAGAGCCCAGCTGGTCTCCACGTTGTCGATCTTCCGGGTCAGCTTGAAGAGACAAGCGGGGAGAGGAGCATGGGTGTGGGGAAGGTGGGCACGTGCTCCTGAGGGGCAGGGAGGGGGCACCCCAGGGTCCCTACCTTCAGCACTTTGTCCCCCGGGAAGCCGAGCTCCTGGAGCAGCGAGCTGACGTAGGTGAGGTCCAGGCACAGGAAGGGGCTGGGTGGCGGCCGGGTCTCTGCCGTCCGGCACACTGCGGGGGACACAGCTCCTGGGTGGGGGCCGGGCCCAGGCCGCCAGCTCCACCCACGCGGGGCCTGCACCGCCCAGGGCCTCCCTGCTGGTCAGAGCCCAGCACCAGCAGGGACTCGAGGTCAGCCCGGGGTCCATCACCCACCCCAGCCCTGTCTCCACCCGGTGACCCCAGCCACCTCTCCTGGGTGTGGACCCCAACCTCCTGAGGACTGGAAACACCCTCGAAGCTGTTGAGAGAGAGCAATCCACCCCTCTTCACGAGGACAAACCACCCACAGCCTCTGCTCAGAGCCTTCTCCCGCTGGTGTCCAGGAGACAAACCCAGAAGTGAGGAGGATGATGGAAAAGAAGCCTTTCTGGGGGCAGGGGGAGGGGAAGGTCTTTCAATGGAGAAATACAGAGTTTAACTCCTTGGACCTGCAACTGGGAAAGGGACTCAGGGTGGAACCGCTACAAGCGGCCTGCACACCTGCTGGTGGGGAGTGAGGAGGGAGGGGTGGGCAACCCGCCCCCGGCCACACCCCAGGGGTACAGATCTCGGTCCCCCCTCTCTGGGCTCTGCTGTGCAGGGGTCCCTGGCAACTGTGAATCTGCTGGGACACTTTGGGGGCTTGAGGTTACCCTAGCCAAACAGAATCAGAAAAAGTGAAATCAGGAGAGTCCATGCCTCACACCCCAGGACTAAAACCCCCGCCCCCACCACACAGGGCACAGCGGGCTGGCGTCTGCCCAGCTCAGTGGCCCCTCACACACTCACACCCCTGAAGGCTTGTCTGGGCAACAGGCAGGGGCCGAAGAGCAATTCCGGGGCCAGGGCCTGCCTCGAGCCTGGGACGGTGTCCAGCCTCCAGGCCACTCACCATACTTGGCCGCGATCTCGAAGTCCTCAACGACAAGGCTGCCTCCCTTCTCCGCATCTGTGGATGAGACCAAGCGCCCCGTTGGCACCAGGGCTGCGGAGCAGGTGGCACCGAGGCCCCAGGGCCCACGCACCCCAGGGGAGGGGTCCAGAGGTGGACGGCTGCGTGTCTGGGCATCAGAGCATGAGGACGACGTGCCCTGGCTCCAGCTGAGGGGAGCCTGCAGGCAGGGCAGCTGCTCAGATGCCCCAGAGAGAGGGACCTGGGCCCAGGTGAGGGGTCACCTTACCCCATCCCAGCCTCATCCTGCTGGCCGTAGCCCACATGAGACCCAACAGCACAGCCAACCTGATGGCCTCTGTCTCTCTAGCGCGATTTTCTATGCACACTAATGTTTCATCTTTGCCATGGACAACGTTCTGACACCCTTAATCTATCTCATCAAAAGTCATTTCCAGTCCTGGCCCAGTGAAGTGATCTCGTGACCCTCTCGAGACTTTCTAGTGGGTCACCAGTCCCAGACTCCCAATGCCGTCTTCTGCTCTGATGGCACTCGCGGGTTGGGAAGGGGTCAGGGTGACACACATAAGCTCCTGAGGGTGGTCTGAGGAGTGGGTGCCAGCCTGGGTGCCAGCAGCTGAGGGTTTGAGAATCACAACAAGTGAGAGGAGAATGAACCAACAGCCAGGAAGCCTTCTTGCACTAAGCAGCTCAGAGAACTGAATTAATAAAAGAGAGGCCTAGTACGCTCTACTCACGACAGGTCCCTGCCCTCCCACCACCCTGATGTGACTGGCGAGCCCTCTGCCCGAGGTCCCACACCCCAGGCCCCTACGTAGCAAACCCAGCCCCACCCTTACCTATGAGGCCCACGTTTGCGGCAAGGTCGTAATAGTAGGAAAAGGCATAGAACTCCACGTTCTTCACTTCCTCTGTCTTGTGCACTTTGTTTCGAAGGATCTCGGACACTCGGCGGGCACACAGCTGGTAGAGGCTCCCCGCTGGGGTGAAGGGAAAGCAGACTCAGCAGTCATGGGGCTCTGGGCATCTGACCACGCGGCCCAAGGTGGCCACAACCTGGGGGTGCTCACCAGCAACCTTTCAGGGGCCACGCGCTAAGGCCAGGTCAAGGGGAGAAACTGTGAGCATAAAGGTGGCTGGAGGGTGGCCCCGATCCTGAAGGCCAGCAGCCTCAGGCTGGGCTCCTGGTGCTGCCCTCACACAACCCAGTGGGTCCACCCCACGCTCGCCCTGCCTGCCCTGCACTCAGCTCAAATGTGTAGCGTTGCACCCACTTCACCAGCCACCTGGGTGGGGCCTGCACCCTCTCCTGTCACAGAGAAGGGGGGCTGGGCCTCAGTGGCAGCTTGCCAAGCTCACGAGACTGGTCATGACACTTGCTCAGAAGTGCGACACACACAGACTGAGTTAGTGGATGTGGATGGCCCACAGCCCATGCCCAGACCCATTTCTGATCTTGCCCCAGCCCTGCTCCACGTCTGACAGCAGCTCCATCCAGCTGCCCCGTGGTCCCCGAAGGCTCCCCCTCGCCCTCTGGATCTCATTTCCCTGCCTTCTCCCTGCTCTGACCCTCACACTGCCTCCTCCTTGCTCCTTAAATGCAGCAGCCAGCTCAGGGCCTTTGGTGAGCTGCCCCCTCAGCTTGGAGCTCATTGCCCAGCTCGTCACATCTTGTCTCTTCATGCCATGAGGGCTTCCTTGGTTGTCCTTAAACCACGACCCCCCTTCCCAGTCCCCTCCTGTTTATTGCTGGATAATCAAGAATAGTAATTTGCTCTCCGTCCTTGGTCCCTGACACAGAGCTTGTAAAGACTTGTAAGGCCCTGAGTGGTGAGGGTGAGAGGGGTGTCCTGTTATTCTCAATAAGCCTTAATTTTGTGCTAATGAGGTGACTCCCAGTGGGACCCTCGAGGGCTTCAGGATGGGGGCTGGTGGTTAGAGGAGTCGGACGTTCAGCGCCCCCTGGAGGGCATGGGCAGAGAGCTGGGGACTGAGTCAGTCACCACCGGCCACTGAATTGATCAGTCCCTCTGCAAGAAGCCTTGGAAAACGCCTTCACGAAGGGGCTCAGAGAACTTCTGGGTTGGAGATGTGTGTGTGTGGGGGAGCACCCTTAGGTGGGGGGCTCCAGGCACCCTCCCCATATGCCTGCCTTCCGCCTCTCTCCCATTTGTTTCCCAGCTGTGTCCTTCAGAAGGAACCAGCGACAGGAACGTGTTTCCCAGAGATCTGTGATCCCTCCCAGCAAATTACTGGATTTGAGGACAGGGTCAGAGGAACCCCTGATTTGTAACAGGTCAGTCAGAGGAATGTGGGCCCAGCACTTGCAAAGGGTGTCTGAGGAGGGAGGCTCAACCCGAGGGGTCTCTGCCCTGACTCTGTAAGTGTCAGAACTAAGCTGAATCACAGGATACCCACTGGGTATCCAGAGAGCTGGATGGGCAGGGGAAAACCCCACATTTGAGGTCAGAAGTGCTGTCTGTGGAAACAGCCCCATCAGTGGCGTGTCCAGGTTGGACACGGTACCTCATTAACCCTTTCAGAAGAAACTCGGAGCACAGAGCAATGGGGCGCTGTGGGTGAGACAGGCCAGGGGCTCCTCGGCCTCTCCTGTCCTCGCTGGAGCATGGGCCAGGGTGGCACAGTCCACAGCCGGGCTTGGCTGTCAGCTTGAGCCTGGGGGACGTCCAGGCCCTTCCTCACTGGAGGCCTGCTAGGAAACCTGGCCTCTGGAGGAGCATCTGGCGGCAGATAGGGAGGCCCGTGCAGGGAGCCCGCGGGAGGCAGGAGCTCCAGAGCTGTTTATCTCATGGGCAAGTACAGGCCAGTCTGTGAAGGAGGCTGGACAGGCCCCCCGCTTCTCTCAGGTGCTGGGGGATAAGGGGCTGCCGTCGACCCTCCTGAGCCGCCCTCCTCCATGCCATACCTGCCTCCTGTCCTGCAATCCTGTACGTCACTTCAGCATGCTCCCACTCTCCTCTGAAACCGGCAGACAGACAGGGGCTGACCAGCTCCTGTCCGTCCTCAGCTGAAAGAAGAGAAGAGGTGAAGAATGATGAGTTCCATGGAGGGCAGCCCATGGCACCAAGAGCCTCAGAGGGTCAAGGGAACATGCTTCCTTCCTGCCGTGAGGCTGGACCTCTGGGAGCACCCCAGGTCAGCAGCAGGGGGGCAGAAACCCCAGCAGAGCCATTCCCAGCTCACTGCCAAGGAGGGGCTTCCAGGTTCCAGGTGATGGAGCAGGGGTGGGGCCAGGACCCGCAGCGGGTACCTGCTCACCAGAAACCTGTGCAGTTGGGCCCACAACTGGCAGAGGAAGGGCGGTGGCTGGCCTCCCGCTGAGTGCGCCCCTGTCCTTGCTGATTCTGGTCTGAGCCCTCCCGCACCAGTGGAACAGCCCCCACAGGACCCCAGGAACCCCAGCAGGGATGCCACTGCCTGTGAAGGCAGGAGATAAAAAGGACTGTTGTCTGCAACCGCTCAGTCTGGTGTGTGGTCTGCTGAGTGACGACAGCTCATAAGGCAGGAGCTGCCATCACACTTGGGGGAGAAACATGGCTCCCCTGCTGCTCTGATGGGGCAGAGGAGGGGTGCAGGAGGGACAGGACCCCAAGGCTGGGGCAGACGGGTGAGTGGGTGCCTGCCATCCTCCGCTGACTAATGGATGTTTTCTAGTAGGTGTTTGTGAGACACGGACACGGTTTTGGTTTGCAACAAAGGGGACACTGTTAGAAGTTTAAATGGCAGGATCTGAAATATAGGTGCTGAAGCAGGACATGTGTGAAAGAGGATTCCAGGGGAACACGTGTGGGCTTGTGCACGTCTGACCAAGGCCTCTGGGGGGACAGGCTGAGGTGGTCTCAGAGCAGAGCCCTGGCCTGCCTTGGGTACACGGTTCCCTAAATATTCCAGGAACTCAAGTGCCTGCCGGCAATGTCTGGCTTGTCTGAGCCAAGTGCGTTAGGACGGGACAGCATGCAGAGGGCCTGGGAGCAGACAAAGGCTTTGTCCCCAAATGCCACACCTGGAGGAAGGTCAGGCCCGTTCCAAGTTCCCTCCAGTGCAGGAGAACACAGGGCATGATCTCAGGAGCTGCCTCGTGGTAAATCCTTATACAAGCCGATGCTGATGGTGTTGTTTCTTAGGTTCCTAAGACGTTCTCCCTTAGTGATTCAGAAACCACTTCACTAGCCATCTTTCTTTAAAAAGTAACTGGGGAGGTCCTCAGGGGCCCCCAGCAAGGTCTACGGGCACACTCTCCAAGGCTCCCAAATCCTGTTGGCCAGAAGGGCTTTGGACACTGCACCCCACTCACCAGGCTTCCCCTCCTCGCCTCCCAGGACTGCCAGTCTCGCCGACATCAAGCCAAGCCCCAGGTAGCTGTGGAGAGAGTGCCCTGGTGAGGAGAGGCCGCCCAGAGGCCCAGGTGCCGCTCTGCATGCGCCTGGGCCTGTCCACTGGACCCAAGGCGGCAGGGGGGCCGGGGCTGGGCAGGGCAGCGGCCTCCTGCTTCTCCCAGGAGCTCCTTGGCTCAATAAGCCAAGACCCTTCCTTGGTGGAGCTCAATCAGGAGCTGTGGACACCGCGGAGTGTGACAGGCAGGCCTCCACCTTCATGGTGCGGACAGGCCTCGTGGAAAGAAGCTACTTAAGGTGCCAGTGGCAAGAAGGTGACCCAGAAAACCCTTGCACAATCCATGGGCTCTTCCCCACTTCCCCAAAAGCCTCTTCCGAGGCAGAAGAGAACACATACAAAAGAAGAAATACTTCAGGTGAATTTTAAAAGGAGGAAAAGGGAAGAGGAAGGGGGAGGGGGTGGCCGCAGGGGAAGGGGGAGGCTGCAGACGGGTCCACGGCAGGGTCCGGGGACTGAGTCTGTGGACAGTGCTCTGGTCACTCCCCAGGGGAGGCCTGCGGTGGAAAGCTGAGCCCTTGTCCACCCTCAGTCCTGAGGACGCACCTGTAGGAGTAGAGTCTGTAGGTCCTGTTAAACACCTGGAGGGACGTGAGGAAGCTGGGCGGCGAGGCCTGAAGGGTGCCCTGGGAAGAACACAGGATTAGCGCTCCTTTCCTGCTGGCCTTTCTAGAAAACCATCCCCCACCTCCCTCAATTCATTTGAGAGAGCAGGGATATGCACAGATGTATTCAATTAGCTTTTCATCAAATCACAAGCCATGAAACAGCTTAGACCAAGCAATGAAGCACTTGGATTTTTCCTTTTTTGGGGGGTTGATCTCAGCTCCCTGACCAGGGGTGGAACCCTCATCCCCGGCAGTGGAGTCTTAACACTGGACTGCTAGGGAAGTCCCATGTCTCCCCTCTTTTTGAGTAATATTTATCCATTTTGAGAAATATAGCCTAATCAGAACAGTTTTGAGTATATTTAAGGTTCTTCCATTAAAACTAAAAAATAAAAATAAAAAATAAAAAGTGGTGGATGAGGAAAGTACTTTTTAAAAACACCATGCAATCTTAACTGGAAATGAGTCCATCCTGAAAAGGAGTATGACCCTGTCCCATGTGAGTCAGACTGATGGGCCCTCCCTGGAAGCCCTTGGGGGGCAGGGAGGAACCCACCCCACCCTCTCTGCCCATAGGGCTCCAGGTAGTATCTGCTAATAGTTTATCACCCCAGCAAAGAGCAAATTCCTATTTTTTTTCCTAGGCAGAGTTAAAATCAAACTAAGCAGGATTCACTGTGTGTGATGACCCTCAGGAGGGAAGCTGAGCTCACAGGTCTCCAGGGGGCTGCGGCTCCCCCACAGGGCAGGCAGCCTTGGGGGTGGGGGCTGGTTACCTCGAGTCTCGGGAGGAAGGTGATCTGGGTGGACCCCCCGCCCAGGTCCAGCATGCCCACGCTGCCCCTCCCGGAGGTCTTCAGGCTGCCTGCAGCACCGGAAGTAAAATCCACATGGCAATGACAGTTAATAAACAGAACAGAAAAAAAAAAAGAAAAAAGGGGAGAGGTCAGAAGCTAGGCCCTTCCGTGGAAAGAAGAACAAGACAGCAGAGGCTGCAGCCACTTAAAAATCTCCACATGTTTGGGGGAGGGCACGAAGAGCAGCTGCCTGGTGGGGCCTTCATCTGAGCTTTCACCTGGGCTCTGGACCTGCCCCTGGCATGGCTCTCCACTCCCGGGTGACAGAGCCTGCAGGCAACTTCCCTCCCTCTCATCCACTGTCAGACATGCCGGGCATGTCCATAATTACAACAAAGGGACAGAAGCCCACATCCAGAGAGTCATCTGAGACAAACGACTCCTGTTTCCAAGGACCCATGTTCCTGGTACCTGGTCTTCCTCCAGCGGGACTTCAATTATAAGGTAATCGGCACTTGCCTCACTTTCAACATTGACTGGGGTGACTCAGGGCTTTTCTCAGGAATGAGGATGTTGCTGCCGCAGGCCACAACCACCCCTAGTACCTGCATCCACAAACTCGGGGCCCACCCCACGCTGGGGTCAGTAACACTGCAAAACCCTGGGGAGTTATTTTAAAGAGCAGAAATGAGGCTCCTGCTCTCAAGACCAGGGTCTGTGAACAGTGGGCTCTGTGATGAAGGGAACCCACCTGTTAAGAAGTTCACGGTGATCCACGCGGAAACACCTGCAGGATAGGGTCACAAAGGGCACCTGAGAGGCTGTAATTACAGCACCGGGGGCTCAAGGGCACGAGGAGACCACTTCCCCACTACTCTCAGCCTCTGGATTGGCTACGGGAACGGGCGTCACTCAGAGCCAACAGTGGCTTCTGGCAGACTGCTCTAGAAGACACCACACTAAAAGCCGGAATGCTTGGCCAAATGTCCCATCCTGCGCTCCCACTCTTTATTGACTGACTCTTTTCAGAAGAGAAGGGACGAGAACCAAATGTTCTCTTTCCTTCCACCCACACAAACTCTTAAGGTCACATTTAGAGTCGGGGCTGGTAAGGAACCTTATTAAGCGATGCTCTTGGAAATAAGGCAACAGCAATGTACTCACACAGCAACTGGGGATTCTCTCTAAATGTTCTGAGAAGAGAGGATTTGTTTTCAGGACTGTGATCTGTGCCAGGCTGGCAGCCAGTCACGAGGAGAACCTAACACTGGCCCCAAAAAGGAGGCTCTGAGATGGTCAGACTGTGGACAGGGGGGTGGGGCAGGGCTGTCACTCCAGTGTCTATGCCTCTGGCCAGGGAAGGCTCCAGTGAGATGCTGACAGCAGTGCTGCATGCAGCCCGCCTCGAGGGATGGGCTTGCGGCACTTTCAGTAACTACCTTCGTCTGTCCCGTTCATGATGGAAACACAGTCGTCCCCCACAAGGAATGGCGATGCCTCAAACACTTCTTTCACCTAAGTGTAAAGAAAGACGCATCTTTAACCTTGAGAATCTAAACTCCCAGACCCCAGTCACTGCCCCGCGTTAGGACAGGACAGGAGGGGCGGCAGGAAGCCCCATGGGGCAGATCCCAGCCCTGGGCCCCCATGCAGACTGGCGGGCATGTGCCCAGGGGATGGCCTGGCACAGGGGAGGTGGACGCTGGGAGAGTTGCATTAGGCTGTAGCTCCTTCTCCATGTTTTAGCCGTAACAGATATACAGAAACATCAGCATGTCTGCACTTGTGTCCCACAATCTGACTTGAGCGCATGAAAGTAGTTTCTATAAAGGGACCTTGACAGGCTTGCAACAACGTCATTTAGTAGCTGACAGGTGCAGAAACAGCTTGGAGCAGGACCATTTTGCTGAGAACACTTTCCCTGATTCCTGATGGTTAAGACTTCTACAAGCCCCTGTCAAAGACAGGCTCCAGGGCCACCTTCGGGAGGTGTAGTGCCTGGGCACATGCCAACGGCCTCCTGAGCTGTCCCACTTGAGCGTCAAACCAAGAGAGGGGCCTGCCCTTCCTGCGAGGGTGACCAGCTTGAGCCGAAATTTCAAGAATTCAGGTCCCACTGCCTCAGACACACAGCAAGTCCTTGGATGGAAGGAAGCCCTTCAAACATATTATTTTTCACACAAACTTGTTCTTTTTATAAAACAGGTTCATTCTAGAAAACATGAATGGCTTTAAACATCTTGAGCAAGAAAGCATCATTCATCCACAAGGCCTCCACCTAAGGTGACACTGTGAACATGTTGACATGTTTCCTTCCTGTGAGACCTTCTTCAGGGTCCTGCTTGGACGTGGATGGATGCTCCACAGTCTCAGTTATCATTAGCCAACCCTTGGGGGAAATGGAGGTGCTCACCTTCTGCAGCAACTTCTGAGCCTTTTCTCCTGGCAACAGGCGCAGACCAGCTGTGGCCTTGAGGACCAAGGGGGTGGCCTTCCAGAAGTCAAAGGGGATGTCCTGTTTGGCCACGTCCAGTAGCTCCTGGATCCCTGGGGTGCTCTGTGGACGTGGTGGGTAAAGCAGGGTTGGTCCACCCGCAGCATGGTCATGGTTGCTCCCCACCCTTTAGGCTTTATACACCTGTAAATGTATTTTTTCCTGATTTTACAAATTGACAGAAACAGTGACTCAAGTGGAGCTGGCGCGGGCATGGGCTGGACCAGGGTTCTACACTCTGGCCTGGCCACCTCGGGCAGTGCCAGGTGAGCTGCAAGGCCTCGGCACACCATGAGAGAATTCCAGGGTCCCTTATGGCCCTAAAATCCACAAAGAGCGACACCAAAGATTCACCTGCTGGTATGCTGAGCGCCACACACTGGACCAGGGCCGGTGTGTGTATGTGTCTGTGTATATACACGTGTGGGGCGGTGTGTGGTTGTGTGTATGTGTATATATATATGGTGTGTGTGGCTGTATATATGGTGTGGTATATGTATGTGGTGTGTGTATACATGTGTGGGGTAGTGTGTGGTTGTGTATGTGTGTGTATATCTGTGTAAATACACGTGTGGGGTAGTGTGTGGTTGTGTATGCGTGTATGTGTCTGTGCATATACACATGTGGGGTAGTGTGGTTGTATGTGTGTGTGTATATGTATAGTGTGTGTGTCTGTATATATGGTGTGATGTATGTGTGGTGTCATTGTGTGCGTGTATGTATACACGTATACATGTGTGGTGTGTATATGTGTGTGATATGTATGTGGTTGTGTACACATGTGCAGTGTATATGGTGTGGTGTATATATGGGGGCCTCCCATGGATACCAGTGTCCTCCACAGACCCCCTACGCTATGGAGCATCCCAGGTCAGCACAGCAGAGATGCTGCCCTGGGTGGACCACTCTGCATCTGAGAGGAAGAGAGTCACTGTAATAAGGCTACAAAAGACAAACTTGATGAACAAAGAAACATGAGAGAAAACTATTACCTTTTCAACGTCATCAGCATAAGCAGAAAGACCTGGCTTCAGTGCTTTGAAGGTTTCATGGGTCAAGGTGGGAGTTTCTAAAGAAAAATCATGTTTTATACAAGGTACAAGTGTGAATATAAACACAAATCCAGGAATCTCTACAACTATGATGAGCCACACTTTTAAGGCAGACATCTGAAAACAACCTTCGCTGTTTCTTCTCTAAACTCTGCCTCTTTAGTCTGGCTAAATGAGGAATATTATACTTAGTGTTTCAGCTAGAACTTTTCCTCTCAAAAAAAAAAATGAACCTTATTTATTTACTTAGGCCACACTATGAGGCATGTGGGATCTTAGTTCCCCAACCAGGGATTGAACCCCTGTCCCCTGCATTGGAAGCATAGAGTCCAATGCATGCTTAACCATTGGACCACCAGGGAATCCCCAAATCAACTTTTCTGAGGTATAATTTACACACAAAAAACCTATCCATTTAAAGTGGTTAAAGTTGAACACAGTTAATTCTTGCTGATTCAACAAGCAGAGGAGCAGGGCAAATGATTTCAAACTAGAAAAGTAAAATAATTTTCTTGATTCTAGCATGGACACATTACAGGTTCTAAAGAATATTTCATTCTTCTTTTTAAAAAATTCAGTGTCTTAAATTCTCATGTGCTTACACCAGGGGAGAGTGTTCCCAGGCACACCGAAGCAGAGCAGTGTTGTCAAAATACAGACACGAGGAAAGGTCAGGGACAAACTTTTTGCAAGGACATCTCTCCAAAGAAACTACACCAGAACATGGCTACTAAAGGGTTATACGCTGACATGTGTTGCCTTAAACTTAGCTTCAAATCAATTCTGGAGGTAGGCAAAGTCCAGCATATGAACATTTAACTATTGTTAACAAGTTTAAAAGTAAAGCAGATGAAAAGTGGGAAAATGTGCCACAAGAGCCCTACAGGGGCCTCCTGAAGGCGCCCAGTGCCTCCAGGTCAGCTAAACGCACAGAAGGGTCAGCACAGAAGCAGAGAAGAGGGACCCCAGATGTCAGAACCGACTCCCCAAGGTGGGGGGTACTGGGCAACACTGGGGGTCTCCCCATGGGAGAAGGCAGCAGGTAAAGATGCCCAGCTCTACCCTCATCCCTCCCCAGCCCCCACCTGGGAAGCAGGCCCCTGGGCGATGGCCGCAGTTCCCCTTTCACTGAGGCCACGGCCATCGGGCACCCCCTTGCTGTCTGGCCCCAGTGGGCAGCTCCGTGTCTTGGCTCATGTACCTGACTTTCTTGAACTCTCGGCTCCCACTGGCCTAAACCTGGGGCTACCAGCTGCCTTGAACTCAGCCCATGTGACTTCTGGCCTAAGTCATGGTCCCAGCCACCAACCCGCTGGGGACGCTGGGAGGGGACAGGACACCCCCACACCCTCTGAGATCTCAGCTGCCCTTAGCTGGTCACCAGACACCAGTGTGAGTGAGGACATCGGGGACTTCCGAGAACCAGCCCTGTCGACAAGCTCCCCGGGGAGTCCCGGGCGGGAGGTCCGGTCCACCCCAGGGCCTGTGCTCTGCTGTGAGATGGAGGGCAGGGGACACGGTCGGGGCTTTCTGCCCAGTACCTCCAGGCTGCCGGCTGAACTGGAAGACGTGCACACGGGTGCCGGTGCTGCCCGCGTCAAACATGATGCCGTAGGAGACCTCAGGTCCATGGGCAGCCGGTCCTGGGGGACTGCGGGCCTGCTGGCCCCTCCGGGCCCCCGTGGCCGCCTCGGGGATGCCGAGGAAGGCCTGGGTGGCGGAGGCCCAGTGCCACTTGATGTAGGCGACGTAGATGAACAGGCACACAAACAGCCCCAGCGGGTACGCCACCTTCGTCATCCTCAGGTTCCCATTGTTTGGTATTTTTCTCATTTCCTCGTGTGCGGAAGATGGTGCTAGAGCAGCTGGTGGGAGGGAGAGGGGCAGGAAAAACACACTAGGCTGTGAGGTTCCAGGCCAGTGGGAAATTCCTGTGTTCAGGGACAAAATCTGTTCAACCACAATTCTTTCCACAGGGACTTCCCTCGCGGTCCAGTGGCTAAGATGCTGCGCTCCCAATGTGGGGGGGCCCAGGTTCGATCCTCGGTCAGGGAACTAGATTCCACATGCCGTAACTGAGACCTGGTACAGCCAAATAAATAATAATCAATAAATATTAATTACCTCCCCGCCGATCTGCATTTTTCCTGTGGAATCAGAAGCTTCATTTGCTTCTCAGAATGATTCTGGACGGTGGACTCCCCATGGAACAGAAGACGAACTGAGATTTGTAAAGACTAGACAACCTGTCCAAGATCGATGTTCCTGCTGGTGCCGACCAGGGCCACAGCCCCCAGGCCCATGGTGCCCTCCAGGGGCTGGTCCAGGCAGACGGCTCTAGACTTGGTGCTATTTTAAAAGCCAAGTGCACGCGGTGTCCCTGGACTTTTCAAGGGAACAGACATATATCCAGTTCATTCTCCCCAGTCTCACTTTTCCTCCCACGTTGGTAATTTACTTTCCAAAGGTTTAAACTCTGGTCCTTTAGGGACTGCTGCTGCTGCTAAGTCACTTCAGTCGTGTCCAACTCTGTGTGACTCCATAGATGGCAGCCCACCAGGCTCCCCTGTCCCTGAGATTCTCCAGGCAAGAACACTGGAGTGGGTTGCCATTTCCTTTTCCAATGCATGAAAGTGAAAAGTGAAAGTGAAGTCGCTCAGTCGTGTTTGACTCTTAGCGACCCCATGGACTGCAGCCCACCGGGCTCCTCCGTCTATGGGATTTTCCAGGCAAGAGTTCTGGAGTGGGGTGCCACTGCCTTCTCCTTGGGGACTCCAGAGCCATACAAGATCAGAGAAACAGCTCATTCTGGGAGTTTCATAGCAGATACCCCCTTTCATTCACATGCATGTTTCTGCCGAGAAGGAAATCATGCCCATGAGCTTTCAAAGTCCCTGACAAAATAAATTGATTCGGCCCCACTATTTTTGGTTCAGCGCACCTCAAAATGGAGGCCTTTGCTCAATGGAGGCACCAGGCAGGAACCAGAGGCTCAGAGGATGAGAAGGGAGGCGCCTGGTTGTCTGGGCTCCCCCTGTCCTCAGGGACGTCCACCATCTGTCCACCTTCACTGTCAGTTGTGGGAGGTGGAGTGGACACCCCAGGGGAGGGAAGACAGCAGTGCTAGCTGGGTGGGAAATAGGGTGCATGCCCATGGGTGAGCCCCTGGTCAGGGAGCTGGTCTCACCTGTAAGTGGTGGGGCTCGGTGCTCAGGATACAAAAGACAGTGGGGGAGGAGGGCTGGAGAACAGCATGACTGCACTTGCCGGGAAGGGGGAGTGGAGGCCAGGTCTGGACAGCAGGGAGCAGTCTTGGGAGGACTCATGATACCCCCAGGATGTCTGGGGGAGGACAGACAAAACAGTAGGGGATCTAGTCCTTCAGCCACACCTGGATGCCCGCAGCCCCTGGAGCATGGCCCAAATCTTGGGGGTCCCTGTGCCCCTGCTGGGGGGGGCCTGCCTGGAGGCCTGGGGATGGAGGGGAGACAGCACACCCCTCCCTGAGCTTCTGCAGCTGGGATCCAGGCTCCTTGGTGTTCTCCCCTCCCACTCTTGAGCAAGCTGCGGTTCCTTTATGCCTTCCTGCCCTCTGGAGAGAAGGGGCCTCTCCGGAAGCAGGGACCAGCCCACTCATCCTGATTTCCCGACCACAACACAAGGCCAGAAACCAGCAGCTGCTCAGCCAACACCTGCAGGTGAGGAAGACTAGCTGATGATGCAGCAATTCACCGGGAGGCATGGAGGATGCTTCAGGACCCTGATGATGGCCATCTGAGATGGGAATGTTTCGGCAGGAGATGGCAGTGACCAGGTTTTCCACATGTGGAGTTTGAAATGATGGCAGGACTCCATTTGGACACAGAATTGAGCCTTGTGAGAGATTCTAGGTTTGGGGTTGGTGCTTGAGCAGCCATCCTCCAGCAGCCAGCTCCACCCAGGAACAGGCCCTTTCAGAGGCTTCCTGTTTTTAGGTTATAGTAACCCAAAGTTTCCCATGGCTAAGTGATCTCTGAAAAAAGTACTTACAGATTAAGTTCTAAAGCAGCTATTTCCAAGGATGGTTAGCAAGGACCATCTTGCTAACTAACATCTTACAACTCTGAAAGTGTTTTATTTTTACATAATCAGTTTTTTTTTTTTTTTAAGATAAGAAGGGATTTATTAGAATGTAACTTGTGAAGCTTATAAGCGGGTGGGCGAGAAATGCCATGCCCTGAGAACTTACTGGGCTACAGTTTTCTAATCAAAGGAAAAGTGGGAAGGCGGAGAACTTCCTGGTCTTTCTTGAGTAGATGTGATGCTTCCATCATTAGTTCCTCCTTCAGGTTGGGCAGGGGAGCTTTCTTGTCCCTACGGGGTCAGGCTAGGTCCAGAAATTATTGTTTTTCTCTGTGTGCAGAGAGCATGTCGTAGGGATAATTAACTTACTGAGCTCACTGTTTTATTGTTTATGAGCAAATTTCATCATGTCCTATGTTAGCCTGAGAGCCATAGTACACATAATCAGATTAACGGGTAGAATATTACATTTTGAGGCAAAGGCTGCTCTTAATTAAATTTGTCTACCCATTTTAAAAACACCACTTTAAACACGCTATGAATATATTCTGTTACCAGAGCCCACAGTGCGGGCACCTATATACCACATGATGACTGATTTCCATACAACAGAACCAATGCCCAGGAATGTCTGTAAACAGACTTGCCTGGGATCACACGGTTGGCACACCTCAAGGCCGAGGAGGTTCAGGCTTCTGAATCCAAATCAAACGTGCTTCATTCATCACTTCCCTGTCCCTGTGAATACAAGGCTACTTCAGATGACCAGAAAACACGTGAAGTTACATACACATAATCATTAAAGTTACAGGGGGCCTCCCAGGTGGCTCAGTGGTAAAGAATCCACCTGCCAATGCAGGAGCCGCGGGTTCGATGATCTCTGGGTGGGGAAGATCCTCTGGAGGAGGAAATGGCAACCTACTCCAGTGTTCTTGCCTGGAAAAATCCCATGGACAGAGGAGCCTGGTGGGCTGCAGGCCATGCGGTCACAAAAGGTCAGACATGACTGAGCACAATCATTCAAGTTACACAGCAAGTTCAGGGTAGCATAAACAGAGGTCTAACAGAACATAATTCTGAGGGGGCCCGAGCCAGGAACAGCCATGTCCCTGAGGCCGGAGCCTAAAAGCCAGTTTCATTCCTTGGGGTAAGGGGCTTGTCCAGAGCTAAGACAGTCGCAGGAGGTGGGTCACATTTCGGTGACACTACCGACACCTCCCGAGAGGATCGCCAAAGAAAATAATTTTCCTTCAGTTTTGCTCTTTAAAGGAGAGTCTAGAACAGCGCTGTTAAGGCAAGGTGGTGGGGAATGAGGACTCGGCTGGTGGTGCGGCAGGATGTAGCTGCACAAAGGCAAACAGAGGTTTGGCTGAGCTAACCTGTCTCCCAGTTGGCTACGGCAGTGGGCTGGGGCTGCCTCCCCCTGTCCTAGGTCAGCGCAGCGATGTCCCGCCCCACCCCCCGGGCAAGCTTTCTAGGAGCTGGGGACTGGCAGGTCGGCTCGCGAAATACAAGCTCTATCCGATTTAGATCTGTAGGCCCGTTTCTTCAAGGGTAAAGTTCCCCAAAGGACCGTGCGCGCAAATGACTGCCCAGATGCTGAAAACCTATCCAAAAATTAAAGCGCATAACCAAACACGAATCCCCCTGGTAGGTGTCAATAGGCTTTCCTCCCCTGCTGATCAGGCCCCTGTCGGGTCTTCTGCGCCCGGGCTGGGAGCGGGTCGGCAGACGCCGGCTTAATGAATGAGGCAGGCTCCGGGCTCCCCGGGGTGGACACCCGGGCGGTCTTGTCCACTCCCGTGCCAGAACACAGACTGCGGCCCCCAGACATCAGCGGAGCCCGGGGTGCCAGTGACCCTGAGGACACCTCCAGGCGCTGCCGCCCGAAGACGGGAGTAGCCGGGCTCCGGGTTTGCACCCCGGAGGCTCCAGATCTGCCCCGTCCCCCGGGGCGAAGCGCACAGTGCCCGGAGAGGTGGGGGGGAGGGGGCGGGGAACGTGCATCCGCACCCCGGGGCCGGCGGAACCCGCCGCTTACCCTTCAGCGCCCTGAGCCCCACCTGCGGAGCGGAGTGCCGGTCCCCGGGGAGCTCACAGGCCTCCGAGGCCGCTTCCCCGCGGTCCTGCCACACCAGTGTCGGCACGGCCTCCACCCCCCGGGTCCGCGGGCAGAGGACCCGGGAGCCTCGGCCCCGCCCCCGTGTGCCCCGCGTCAGCCCAGTGCGCAGGCGCAGCGTGGCGGCGGGGGCGGGGCGGCAAAGTACGCAGGCGCAGCATGGAGGCGGGGTGGGGTGGCTGGGGCGGCCCAGCGCGCAGGCGTCGTGGGCTGGGCTGGTGTAGTCCTGGATGACGCGGTCTCGATTGTGTGGCTAACTAGCTCTCCTCCGCGGCACGGCGGAGCAGGGCTGCGTCTTGCTTGGCCGGAGTCAGCCCTGCAGTCTCACAACCTTGACTAGCGTTGGAAGTTTTGATTTTTCTCGGGTTCCCCCCCCACGACATCTAAAGTCCCTCTTTTCCCTTAAGGTAATTTACAGTAGAAAATGCCACCACGACAGGCCAGGCAGTGCCGTGGCCCCCATGTTCTTGTCTCTTCCTGGAAGCGGCCCCGGTTCCTTGCTCCTGGTCAGAGCAGTCGTTCACGCAGCCCTGTTTCCTCAGGGTCCTGCTGGCAGGGCTGCCCACGTGTCCCCTCGGCCAGTCTCCTCTCTTGGCCACAGTGCGGCCGGCCTTCCAGCATCTCTTACTGTGGATGCGCCCACGTGACAGACGGCACCCTGCCAATGGGGTGTCTGTGCGCCCCTTGCAGACCTGGCCCTGGGAGAACTTGGTGGTTCCTGAATCCCGGGGTCTTCCTGAGTTTGTTGTTGAGGCATGGGCAGTTGAGAGTGAGTGGGTGCTGACAGGTGGATGTAGGTACAAAAGTACTAAGGCCAGGCGTGGGCAAGGGGGTGCGTTTCCTCACTGCCAGCACCTGGTGGGACACTGGCCTCATTTACCAGGTTGTGTGGCTTAACACTGACTCTGTTTGATCAGCTCCACCTTGGGCTCACAGTGCTACCACTTCCCTGTTCTGGGTGACTTAACTTTAGCTGGCTCATAAGTGACGAATGCCAGCCAGGTAAGTTCCCATCAGTGTTTTGCCAGGCCTTCAACTGCTGTGAACCCTGGAAGAGCGCCTTTTGTGTAGATGGTTAAAGGTCACTGAGACCCTCCTCCCCAGGGGAGAAAGAACCTCTGGTTGCCATCAGTAACACTATTTCTCCCCACAGTCAGATTCTATTTTTAGCTTTGGTCCCTTTCAGTTCCCCTGTACCCCTTTGGCAGCAAAGAGTGCAGCTTCGAATGCCTGTGTATGTCACCCACAATAAACTTCGTCATTGCTCTATAAAGTTGCTGCTTTCTCTTTCAGTCTTGTGGTTCCATCTTAGGTCAGAAAATATTATTCACTGTCTCAGACACCCAACACAGGCCAAGCCAGGAGATGTGGTTTTTCAGGCAACACTTAACCGGCACTGTCCCTTGTTCTACAAGTTGGCTGTCATGATTAATACTACAGGATCCCAAGGACTATCTCTGTGTACATGTGTAGGTATATCTGTGGGGGAAATGCCCAGAAAAGAAATTGCAATGGTAGAGGATATGTCCTTTGCCTTTTTTTCTTTTAAATATTTGGATCCATAGGGCTAAATTGGGCTTCCCAGGTGGTGCTATTGGTAAAGAACCTGCTTGCCAATGCAGGGGACTAAGAGATATGGATTCGCTCTCTGGGTCAGGAAGATCCCCTCGAAGAGGGCATGGCAACCCACTCCAGTATTCTTGCCTGGAGAATCTCATAGACAGAGGAGCCTGGCGGGCTATGGTCCATAGGGTCTCAAAAAGTCAGACACAACTGAAGGGACTTAGGACTGACGCGTGTCCGAATTACTCATTACACATTGTGCTAATTGGCCTGCCCACAGTAGTATATGGGAGCATGGGTTTCCCCATCTTTTCACTACTGGAGTTCTTTTAAACCTTTGGATCTTTGCAGTCCAGTTGTACACAGTTCTTTCTCACATACAACCATACAAATTTGCCTGCAATGAGGGAGACCTGGGTTCGATCCCTGGGTTGGGAAGTTCCCCTAGAGAAGGGAAAGGCTACCTATTACAGTATTCTGGCCTGGAGAATTCCATGGATTGTATAGTCCATGGGGTTGCAAAGAGTCGGGTACGACTGAACGACCTTCACTTTCACTTTCACAACCATGCAGTTTTTTAAAAAGCATTAAAAGTATATATATTATTTATTTATTTTTGGCTGTGCTGGGTCTTCGGTGCTATATGTGGGCTTTCTCTAGTTGCGGACACTGAGGGTTTCTCTTTGCTGTGGTTCTCGGGTTTCTCATAGCAATGGTTTCTCTTGTTCCAGAGCATGGACTCTAGGTGCTTGGGCTTCAGTAGTTAGGCTCTCAGGCCTAGTTGCCCCAGGGTGTGTGAAATCTTCTCAGACCAGGGATCCAACTGGTGCCCCCCCGCATTGGAGGGCAGATTCTTATCCACTGCGCCACCAGGGCAGTCCAGCCATACGGTTTTGCATTTATTTTAATATTTTGAAATTATTGATTGTGGAACTGTGATGGCCCTGCTTCTGTTGAACTCACAGAATTTTTACCATATTTCTTAGGATTTCTAGCATTAATCTGTTTTACTGATATGGACTTTGCATATGCTGTTTTCTGCTTGGAAAGCTCTTCTCCCAGGTCTTTCCTTAGTAAAAGGCTATGGTCTGAATGCTGAGCACCAACGAATTGATGCTTTTGAACTGTGGTGTTGAAGAAGACTCTTGAAAGTCCCTTGGACAGCAAGGAGATTCAACCAGTCCATCCTAAAGGAAATCAGTCCTGAATATTCTTTGGAAGGACTGATGCTGAAACTGAAACTCCAGTACTTTGGCCACCTGATGTGAAGAGCTGACTCATTTGAAAAGACTCTGCTGCTGGGAAAGATTGAAGTCAGGAGGAGAAGAGGATGACAGAAGATAAGACGGTTGGATGGCATCACTGACTCAATGGACATGAGTTTGAGTAAATTGTGGGAGCTGGTGATGGACAGGGAGGCCTGGCGTGCTGCAGTCCATAGGGTCTCAAAGAGTCAGACATGACTGAGCGACTGAACTGAACTGAACTGAATGGTCTGAATGTGTGCATCTCTCCAAGTTTATACATTCAAATCCTAGCCTCGAAATGGTGGTGTCAGGAGGGGAGGCCTCTGGAAGGTGGATGGTATTAGTGCCCTCCTAAAAGAGACTCCAGCGGCTATCCGCCACCCCGTCTGCCACGTGAGATTTCAGTGAGAAACCAACCCTTACCAGCCCTCATCAGACCATGACTCTTTGTTTTATATTTTTAAATTTCTCTCAGCTTGTTTCTTTCTGTCTATTTTTTGGAGTGTATTCTGTTGTTTGTATTTCTGATGAATTATCTCAATTTTCAGTCTGTTTAAAAAAACTCTGATTTATTTGCCTGCACAGCTCTAGTTGCGGCCATAGGATCTTGTCGTGGTATGTTCCCCAGCCAGGGAAGGAAGCTGGGCCCCTGATTTGGGGTCGCACAGTCTTAGCCACTGGACCACCATGCAAGTCCCAACATACCGAAAT